CCCACTTATTATGAGGTATGATCAAAAATATAGTGAATGCAAAAACTGTATTGCTGTAAAGATGCATTGCCATTAATGTCCTACAAAACCCTCCCCTCACCCGGAATGCACCCCATCATTCCTGCCTCCTTCTGAAGCAGCTCTGAAGTCCTCTTTCCTGAGTGTCTTTAGTCTCTGGGTGGTGGCTGCCTCAATGTCCTGAACTGATTCAAAACATCCCCCCTTGGTGGTCATTTTGACTGGGGAGGAGCCGGAAGTCACTTGGTGCCAGACCCAGTGAATGAGGATGAGGACACACAGTTGTGTCTTTGTGAGCTGCCTTTCTGTTGTGTGGTGCTCAGCAGCAGCGTTCACTGTATTTTTTATCACACCTCATAAAGGCACTCAAGAAAGAGTCCTCCAGAGCTGCTTCAGAAGGTGGCAAGAACCATGGACTAAGTGTGTTCAAAGTGAGGATGAGGATTTTGAGAAGGATGGATGGTAATGTGTCTCTTACTGTAATAAATATTTTTAACACTCGCTGTATAATTTGACCACATCTCATATAATGTGTTTGGTTACACTGTGCTGACTGCAGATGACGTACAGCCTATTGTCTTTCTAAAATCCAAGGATACATACTTTTGTTTTTTCAAAATGTACCTGACCTACTCGTTTCAGATAAGGAAGATAAGACAGTACTGAAGACTGGGAGTGGTTTTGCACCCACGTGCATTCACCGGACACCTTTCACCGAGCAAAACTGCTCAGCAAAAATAACAAGCTCATGGGAAAATTAGGACTGCGACTCATCTTTCAAAACTCACACGAGTCTGTGAATGAGGGACTAACAAAAATAGCCAGTGCACCTTGTCGGGCAACTGGCGAAATCAACAGTATCAAATATACCCATAACCCTTGGGGGACGCGAAGTGTGAGCAAACCAGAGCAGGGCTGCTGGGACAGTCAAGGGCCAAGGCGGGGTGGCAGCCAGGACCGGGAGCACTGAGATGTCGCTGTGGAGTGATCCTCTCCAGGAGGAAGCCAGGGCAGCGGCCTCATCTGCACGTTTGTGACACCCAACTGAGCAGCTGCATGGAGGGTTTTCCCTTGCTGCAGAGGATCATCATTCTACTTCTACTGTTCTGGCTTTTTGTGTGTGGTGAAGTTGCTTATAAACCAATTCAACTTTCACTTCACTTTGGGATGACTTCACTATTCCCAACCACACACTCAGTGGTGCTAAGACCACCCCGGCTGGAGTCAGACTGACTGGGACCAAACACCAGACGAGCACTGTGACGGAAGAAGACCTAGAACGAGTCCACAAGCCTAACCTCAGGAAGCACACAGCCCAGCCGGAATGGCTCTCATAAGACGCGACAGTAGATCAGATGGCAGAGGACGACAGAGGGAAAGGAAAGAAAATATCTCTCTAGGCTAAAACATGACAAGAAAAGCAAGCAAGGCTCTGGATAAAGAAAATGTGGTGTTTACACAAACTGGAGCAGTACTCTGCTTTCAAGAAGGATAAACTCGAGTCATTAGTAGCAAAGTGGATGCACACTGAGACCATAATGTTAAGTGAAATAAATCAGACACACAAGCTTAAGTATCACATATGAGAAATTCAAAGTATAAAGAAAGAATAAAATAAAAGATAGATAATAGAATGGAACCAAGAGAGGGAGGGAGGGGGAGGGAGGAGAGAGGACATAAAAAGGACTGAGATGTGTCACGTACATTACCAACTCCCCACGAGGAATGCAGCCATTATATACCGCAAATATGTACTCATACAAATAAAAGCTTAAACCCTAAAAGCATCAGAAAGCCATAATTCTTTTATCTTATTACAGGACTGGGGGAATCTCAGAGGAGCAACAGTGATTAGCAGAAGCCACCTAAAAGGATTCTGTGGTGAAATTGGGTCAGTAAGTGAAAGGGCACCAAAGGTAAATCCCAAGGCTAACTTTTGGGAACTTTCTGGAGCTGAGCAGTTGCTGAGATGTTTTACAAACACTGTCCAGTATGTGAGATTGAATCCTCTGATAGACCTGTGCTAATACAAACCTGCATTTTCACAGGTAGAAAACTGAGGGAGAAAGTAGTTGAAAAACTAAATCAATTGGCCAAGCTCAAAGTAATGGTAACACGGAGGGGACGTTTCCTAGTGTTGTGTTCCAGCAGGAGTGGACACTACATTTAGTAGGAAATAACAGAGCTACCCTTTCAAAAGATATTCTCTAATTAAAACTGTCTTTATTATTCAAAGAACCCTTCCCTTCTCCTTTCTTGCACGCTATTAAGCTTTTCCTGTTTCCTCATCAATTCCTGGTAGCAATGTCTATCTCCTGCATCGCTGCCCTTGCCTTGGGCAATTCAAGGTTAGATACAATCATGTGAGGAGCCTCTAGACAATACAGATGGCCAGCACCACTGGCAAAAGTGGCTTCAACGTCAGCGCTGAGCACAGTGGGCGCTGCACCCGTAAAGGTTGTCACTTCGGCCCTCTTTCCCTCTCAGAGGCCCTGTCATCGCTGCAGTGAAGGGCGGCTCTGAGTTGCTGTGTGACAGCCCTGCTGTCCCTCAGCCCTGGGGGAAGACAGGACCAGAAGGGGGTGCACGGGAAGAAGCTGAGTGAGCACGGGCAGCTGCCAGACCCTGCATCTCCCGCACTCCTCTCCCTCTACCCAGGCCCCTCCTGGGGTCCAAGGCAGCCGGAGCGAGCCATCATCGCCACCACCCACCTCACCGCGGGGAACGTGGCTTCCTGATTATTCTGTCACCCAGACCTCTGCGGGGCAAGGGTGCGGGGTTACTTCACCTCCGCCTCCCTGGCAGCCCTGCACTCAGACAGCCTCGAGTGTAGAACACGGGAATGTGCAGCGTCTGCAATCAATTTGTTTATTTTAATTTGTACAGTGTTCTCATAAGTTATGGGATCATGCATCGCTTACAGTAATCATAATAAACAGACGGCAGCAAAACTGAATTCTGTGTTTCCCCAGATCGGTGATGCCTGAGAAGACACCGGGAACATGACTGCTGAGCTAGATGGGGTTCAGAGAAGCTGCGTACCCTGCCCAGCAGGAAGTCCGGGTAGGTCTGGGTATGTCCCGCCTCGCACTTTGCTTCCTGGTATATCCAAACTGAGTGTGCAAGTCATTTTGCCTAAAGAAGAGCTTTGAAAACAAAGCCAAACTGGAGAAGTATTATTATTAGTCATGCACAGAACTCACAGGTAAATGTGTATATTTTTATGTGAGGGAAAACTGTGGCAGAAGAAAGTTAATTGCGGGAAATTGTCAAAAGAGGATCTCAGTACTTGTGAGTGTGACCACACTTTGTACATTCCCCTGGGCATCAGAGTGACCTAGAAGGGGCCACCTTTACCAAGGGGCAAAGCAGTGCCTGGCTCCTATGGAGGCCACATGGCCAGCACTGAGCTCCATGGACAGGGCACCTGCAGCCCAACCAAAAACACAGAGCGGAATGTTTGCATACTAATAATAACAACAAACTACTGCAAACTACTACGACAAACTACTCTCATAAAAGGAAAGCAATCCCACCTCTCATCTGTCATTTATATACACCACTGACCAAAATGTTCACTCAGTCTCAAAGCAATTCCCCCCCCCCCATGTTAGCCCTAAATCTTTCACCTTGTAGAACAGGCCTTATCCCATAGGAGGTTTTCTGGTCACAGGAAAGGACATTCCAGGACATAACAGCGAGTGATGAATATCCTTGGCATATACCCCACATATCCCATTGCAAGCTTTTTATTTTGCAAGCTGTCCGAAGAACTGCAGCATGAAAATTTCTACTCGATTCCCCAGAGCCATGCAGAAGATAGGAGATTTTAGCAGCCCACAGGAATATGGATTCAACTACAGCAAATAATAGAGAATCGCCATTGTAGAGTACTTGTGCCTGGAGCCAACCCACAAGACTAATGCAATAACAGATTCTGAGTTGGAACTGGAAATCACTACCCAGGTTGGCTTCTCCTGGGAGCCGTGCTAGGATAGCTCGGGGTGCATTCCAGAGCACTGCAGCTGCTCTAAGTTTTCATTGTCCCCTGGAACGAACTTTCACTATTTCCTTTAATAACCCTCAGCCCCTGCCTGGGATAGTGAGTCTGCATTTATCCCTTCAGAATTTCCGTTTTTCATTCCTTCCCATACCTACTTCAGACGAAGCTTTTTAAAAATCTCATATCCCTGAGGCATGGCATCGAGATTTTCTTACTTCGCTCTGGCCTTTCTGCAGAGCCTGTGCCCCTCTGTGCCCCACCAACTCTTCTCTGGAACACTGCCAATGTGTCAAATTCCCTTGGGTAATTCTGAGATTCAAAATAGACATGGCAGAGGGAACAGCGGACTGGACAGGGCGCTAGAGCACAACTCTCTTCTGCTACTCACATATTCACTAAAGAGAAACAGAGGTCTGCCGTGCTTTGCCCTGGCTTGCCTACTCACAAAACCTAAAAGGAATAATCCAGTGGCTTCTAATTGCCTCCTGCAACACTGGGTTCTCTCCCAAGTAGATAGGCTTCCTGTTACTACTCTAGGACTGCCGGGATTCTACCTAATTTATTGCTAACTGCACAGCATCATAGTTTGTCATAACAGAAGAAGCCGCAGGGCACTTCCCCCTTTACGTAGCCATGTAGCCCCCAACTCACATTCCCATGCACCAATCTTGAAGAGTTTGCTATTAGGACAAGAACTGCTCCAAAGCACTGCCAGAAGGACAAAGGCACAGGACCTACCTTGACCAAGAAAAGAACCCCAGCCTCTCATGGTTTTAGTTTGAGGTCCACCCTATTTGTAGTTAGTTACGGAATGAGGGCCTATTAACCTATAAAGCATAAGTGATCTGGCCCTTCCAGTGCCAGAAATGAAGTATTTTCTAAGAGCTGTAGTTACTGAGGAAGAAAATATGCCAGTAAATGGGACAGGGCATCCGATCTCCTACAAAACAATCACTTTAAAATTCCCTTTTGCACATACCTTAGAAGAGTTGTTAAACAAGCAGAAAGCATTGGCCCAAGGCTGGCTCCATACTTTAAGTTCCTGTGTAAGGAACTACACCTGAGTCCTAACTGGGAGTCTCCTTTTGGAGCACAGAGCCAGGTTTCAACCAATCACAAGCAGCGGAGTTTCAGCCAATCACAGCCACTGACTGATGGGGCCAAATTATCCAAATTAGACAATGCCCAACTTCACCCCACAAGCTGCCTGTACACTTCAGAGTTCTGTCTGAAAGTACTCACTGCCCCTACCAAGGATCGAACTCAGGACCTTGCACTTGCCAGGCAGGCACAGCACCACTGAGCTACATCCCGGCCCTCAAGGCCCCTGGTTTTAGCATGGTATCTTCTAATTCTGACGCTGCCTTGTTCATGAGTTGTTTTTGTGTATTGTTTGGTTATTGTTTGGGGTATTTTTGTCTTTGTTTTTTTTCGGGGGGGTCGTTAGATTTGGTTTGCTTTCTTTTGCTCATATAAACTTATGTTTGTCAATTTTTTTTTTTTTTTTTGGTACCAGGGATCGAACTCCAGTCCTTACACTTGCAAGGCAGGCAGCAAAACCACTGAGCTAAATCCCCAGCCCTGTCAAAAGTTGTTAATAATTAACAAATGTTTTTAAATCGCCGTTTTTAATGAAATCCCCTTGTGAGAATCCAGTTTCCTAGTAAGCAGAACTGTTCTTATCATAGATCATTGATATATGTGGAACTGGGCCGGGGATTTAGCTCAGTGGTTTCACCACCTGCTGCGCAAGCGCCAGGACCTGAGTTCCATCCACTCCATGGTACCAAAAATAAATAAATAAATAGATATATGTGAAACTCCCTGTGAGATATAGATAAAGGTAGATAACGCAGAGGCCCTTGAAATCAGTGAGAAAAAGGAAAAGACTGACAAATCAATGGAGAAAATAAGCAAAAGGATTGAATAGACATTGTTTAAAGATATCCAAATGGTCAATAAGCATAAACAGGTGCATGACCTCATTATAGTCAGAAAAAATAAAACTAAAATAATGGATTGTCAGTACTCGGCCCCGCACTGCTACAATTTAGTTGAGTCATAGTACTAATTTTTGCAAGCATGCAGATGAACAGGAATTCTTTTATACTGCTCTTGGGTGTAGGAATTGTTTCAGTCTCCTTGAAAAATAATGCACTATCTCCCACAGTTGGAAACATCCATTCTTCAGGACCTAATTTCACTCTTATCCAAAGGAGATGTATGTGTACTAGATCCGAGAGACATATACAAGAATCACATCAGCATTATGATCCTCAATGACAGAAATAATAAATTACAGTGTGTTCATACATGGAAGACTCTGGTGATGAAATGAACAGTCTACAACTACACTCAATAGAGTAAGTTTATATTAGTGCATGTTTGAGAAACACAATGAACACACTCATTTAGGGGACCGGCAGTATCAATCTTTATCGAGTTTACTCCCTTCCCTCCCCTCTCCCTTGTCCAGACCCCGTCTCCACAGAGTCACCTCCCTGTTTCCAACTACCTCTGCTTCACTTTGCCCTTTAAATTGTTTATACTTTGGGTCTTTCATATTAGAGAAATCATGTGATATTTAGCCTTCTGTGTCTCATTTATTTCACTGACTGTTATTGTTTCAATATCCTAGAAATGATTCAAATTTATTGCCAGTTACTCTTCAGAGGACTAATATCTAGACTATTTCTAGAATATATCAAGGAGTCAAAAAATTAGACCCCCCCAAAATAAAAGACCCAATCAAAAATGAGCAATTTAAATGAATAGATACTTCTCAGAAAGATAAGTACAAATGGAAAATAAGTACATAAAAAAATGTTCAGCATCTTGGACCATTAGAGAAATGCAAATTTTAAAAAATATTGAAATTCCATCTTACTCCAGTAAGAATTGCTGTTATCAAGAACTCAAAAAGCAATTAATCTGGCAAGATCATTGGGAAAAAGGAATACTTCAGCATTGTGGGTGGGAATATAAACTAGTACAACCACTATGGAAATCAGTATGGAGATCCCTCAAAAAACTAAAACTAGAAATTCCATTTGACTCAGCTATTCCTCTTCTAAGTATCTTACTGGAAAAGTTAAAGATAACAGATCACAATGATCCATACATACCCATTGTTATGGTTTGGGTCTAGATGTCCCTCCAAAGCCTCATGTGGTCATAGGCTAGATCTAGAGCCTGTGAAGCTGGAATTGATTCAAGATGCAATGCTAGGCTCAAGGGCATTAGGATTAAGGGTGTGAGTGCTACCTACCCTAAGTAATCTGAGTAAGATAAAAGGGCCATGGAGACCTGTTAAGGTTCTCTTGTTACCTTTCCAACCTTGTGCACACCATGTTGTTTCTGCTCTGCAATGCCTGTTTGTCATCCCTACCTTGGAATTGGCTGATTATGGACTGAAACCTCTACAAACTGTCAGCCAAATAAACCCCTTCCTTCCTAACTTTGGTGTCGGGTATTTTGTCTCTGCAATGAAAGAAAAGTAACAAACACACCTATGTTTACAGCAGCACAACTCCTAACAGTCAAATTATTCCATAATTATTCCATAACAGCCTATATCTCCATCATCAGATGAATGGGTTAAAAGAATGTGATAATAGACCTCCACCAGCACACAGGAGGTGAGCCACGTGGGCGCCAGTAGCACACCCCCACCCACCCCCGTCGAAATGAGAAGACACATAAACAAGTCTCAAAACCAGACTTCCAGATCACCTACAGCAACCCAAAAGGAAAACGAGATGGAACACTCTGATACTCAATCACCTGGACTCTCTGAACTGTCAACAAAAGAGGATCTAGAAAAAATGAAATCAGAAATAATTTCACACATAACAGCAGAGATTGTGCTCATAGTGCAAGATGTGATTAATAAATCTAAAGAGGCCACAGATAAAAAAATAGAGGATCTGAGGAACATGATGGAATTTCCAACATAGGAAAAAAATGAAATCCATAAAACAGATGCAAACTGATTTCCAGGAGATCAAAAACTCCACTGAAAGTCTATACAGCAGAATGAGCCAATGTGAGGACAGAATTTCAGATATAGAAGATAAGATTGCAATTAGTGG